AAAAAAAAAAAAAAAAAAAAAAAAAAAGCCTTATATTCAAATTCTACAAAATGCTTTAAAGTGTTTTAACTCATTGTACTTGAACTCTTGAAAGAAGTTGTTTTAAAATGTTTTTCTGCATTACTTTGGGGTTTTTGTGTGTTTTCTGTGCTCAAATATCTCTTTAAAAATTGTTAATTGTGAAATCTATCAAACACATTGGTATAGTTTCAAGAAGAATAGAACAGGTCACATGTACCACAATGCCGCTTCATAAAGAACACATCCTCAGTACCTTAGAGCCTCTAGGGAATATAGTGGATGGCATCTACCTCCTTTTCCACCAGAGGAACCACTATCTACTTTTATATTAAGCAAATTGTTGCTTTTCCTCACAATCTTTCCACATAGGTGTGTATCCTTTACTATGGAAACCAATAACCAAATAAATTAAGATAAAATTTTAGATGATTCCCTAACTATCAAAATCCAGCTATTTGCTTTCCCATTTGGGGGAAACAAAAGGACAAAGTTTCTACTGCACACCAATAGAATGGCTAAAATAAAAATGCTGACAATACCAAGTGTCAGTGAGGTTATGGAGCAACTGGAACTCTCATATGCTGTTGGTGGGAAAGTAAAATGATGCAGCTACTCTGGAAGTTTCTTACAAAGTTAAACATATCCTTACCATGTGACCCAGCAATCCCACTCCTAGGTACTTATCCAAGAGAAATGAAAACTTGCCTTCAGACAAAAACTTGTCAATATATGTAGAAACTTTATTCATCATCTCTGAAGACTGGAAACAACCCAATTGTCCTTCAGTGGGTGAATGAATAAACAGACTGTGGTACATCCATATCCAGCAATAAAAAGGAGAGAACTATTGATGTATGCACCAACTTGGATTAATTTCGAAGTCATTTGCCTGAATGAAAAAAATAATCCATCTCAGAAGGTTAGATACTATATGAATCCATTTGTAGGACATTCTAAAAAATAAATAAACCAAAAGAAAATAAACTATAGTGATAGAGAATGGATCAATAGTTGCCAGGGATTGGGAGTTGGGGGAGTTTTGGAGTGACATAACAGTTCTGTATTCTGATTGGGTTAGTGATGGTGACATGAATCTATACATAGGTCAAGATTCATAGAACAGCACACTAAAAAAAAAACAAAAAAGAGTCAATATTACTATATATTACTTCAAAAAATAAATGTACTCAGTTGAGGTACCCGTAAGTATCCCAACTTATTATTCAGACTGTCACTGTCTGAACTCAAGTACCAAGTAGATTTGGATAATGAAAGATGCTTGCATTCTTAGTATTCTCTCATTCTGAAATTTATATAAATGGAATTATACCCTAATATTGGCTAGTATATATTATATTTTTTTCACCCATTTCTGGATTTTGCTTGATAAAATGTTCAGGATTTTGTATCTATTTTCATGGGCAAGATTGGTCTGTTGGTTTTCTTATTTACCCTCCTTGCTGGTTTTGGTACCAAATTTATGCTAGTTTCAGTACTAAATTTATGCTAGTTTCATAAGATGAACAATGGCATATATCTCTTTCATTGACATTGTGGTGTTCTCTGAAAAATAATTTTACCTTTAATCTAGCTTTCAGGTGTTTATTTCAATTATCCTATTTTTATTTATTAAAGTTCCATCTGGTTCTTCTTTCAGTATGCCTGGTCATTCATTCAACAAATATTGACTGGGTATTTACCATTTTCTAAGCATTGTTGGGCACTGGGGATTCAGAAGTAAATGAAACAGGTCAGAATTTCTGCTCTCATGGAATTTAGATTCTAGTAGAGGAGATAACAAAATAAATAAGGAAAATTTGCAGAATTTCCATAGTGATAAAGACCAGTGAAGAAAATAAGTATGAAAAGGGGATAGGAGTGTTAACATTTTGGAACTAGTGGCCAAGCAAGAACTTCCTGAGAAGGTAACATTTGAGTAAAGATGGATGGAGATGAGGGGTTGCATTATGTGGATATTGAGGGAACAAATATTCCCGAAAGCCAATGCTAAAACTCCAAGGCAGGCATGTTCCTGGTGTTTTGAGGAACTAAGAAGAGGGGACTAGAATAGAGTGAAGGAAAGAAAGGATAACAGAGATGAAGTCAGAGTGATAATGGTGAGCTAGATCGTGTAGCTTCTTGGTCATTATAAGGCCCCCGGAGGACTTTGAGCATGGGGTGAAATGCTCTGACTTACATTTCAACAGGATCACTCTATTGCTTTCTACGTACTCTGGGGAGTTGGGAGGTTAAGCACCAGATAGGAGGCTATTGTAAAAATGGTGACTCAGACTAGACTGTCAGCATTGGAGATATGTGAAGTGGTCAGATTCCAATTCAAGCTTAAAGGCAGAATAGTATTTGTGGATAGATCTGATGTAGAATATGAGAGAAAGAAAGGAATTGATGATGACTCTACACTTTCGGGCTTGAGTGACTAGAAGAACAGAGTTGCCATTAAGTTCAATGACAAAGACTGTGAATGGGGCAGGGGGGTTGTTTGTTGGTTTAGCTGAAGTATAAGAAATCAAAGAATTTATTTTCATTTTTATTTTTTAATTGAAGTATAGTTGATTTACAGTGTTGTGTTAGCTTCAGGTGTACAGCACAGTGATTCAGTTATACATACATATGTATATTATTTTATTATTATTACAAAATATTGAGTTATTACAAAATATTGAGTTCCCTGTGCTATACAGTAGGTCCTTGTTGGTTATCTATTTTATATACAGTAGTGTGTATATGTTAATCTTAAACTCCTAATTTATCTCTCCCCGCCCTTTCCCCTTTAGTAACCATAAGTTTGTTTTCTGTGTCTGTGGATCTATTTCTGTTTTGTAAATAAGTTCATTTGTATCATTTTTTTTTAGATTCCACATGTAAGCAATATTATATGATATTTGTCTTTCTCTGTCTGGCGTACTTCACTTTGTATGATAATCACTGGGTCCATCCATGATGCTGCAAATGATTATTTCATTCTTCTTTATGGCTGAGTAATATTCCATTGTGTATGTATGTGTATGTGTGTGTGTGTATATATATATATATATATATATATATATATATATATACCATATCTTCTTTATCCATTCATCTGTCAGTGGACACTTAGGTTGCTTGCATGTCTTGACAATTGTAAATAGTGCTGCAATGAATATTGGGGTGCATGTATCTTTTTGAGTTATAGTTTTATCCAGATATATGCCCAGGAGTAGGATTGCAGGATTATATGATAACTCTATTTTTAGTTTTTTAAGGAACCTCTATACTGTTCTCTATAGTGGCTGCACCAATTTACATTCCCACCAGCAGTATAGGAGGGATCCTTTTACTCCACACCCTATCTAGCATTTATTATTTGTAGACTTTTTGATGATGGCCATTCTGCCCAGTGTGAGGTGATACCTCATGGTAGTTTTGATTTTCATTTTTCTAATAATTAGTGATGTTGAGCATCTTTTCATGTGCCTCATGGCCATATGTATGTCTTCTTTGGAGAAATGCCTATTCAGATTTTCTGCACATTTTTTGATTTGGTTGTTTGTTTTTTTGATATTGAGCGGTATGAGCTGTTTGTGTATTTTGGAAATTAATCCCTTGCCAGTTGCATCATTTGCAAATATTTTCTCCATTCAGTAGGTTGTCTTTTCATTTTGTTTATGGTTTCCTTTGCTATGCAAAAGCTTTTAAGTTTAATTAGGTACCATTTGTTTATTTTTGTTTTTATTTCCATTATTCTAGGAGATGGATCCAAAAAGATATTGCTGCAATTTACATCAGAGAGTGTTCTGCCTATGTTTTCTTCTAGGAGTTTTACAATATCTGGTCTTACATTTAGGTCTTTAATCCATTTTGAGTTTATTTTTGTGTATGGTGTTAGGGAGTGTCCTAATTTCATTCTTTTACATGTAGCTGTTCAGTTTTCCCAGCACCACTTATTGAAGAGACTGTCTTTTCTCCATTGTATATCCTTGCCTACTTTGTTGTAGATTAATTGGCCGTAAGTGCATGGGTTTATTTCTGGGCTTTCTAACCTGCTCCATCTATGTGTCTGTTTTTGTAAAAACTTAATTTTTAGACATGTCAAATTTTAGGGACCTATTATACATTCAACCGGAAATAACAAGTAGGCACTTGGGTTTGTGGCTCTAGATTTTTCAGGGAGAGTCTGAGCTGGGATATAAGTCATCGGCATATGGATGGTATTTAAAGCCATGGAATTAATGAGCTCACCAAAGGAGTGAGTGTAGGTAGAAAACATAATCCAAGTCCTAAAACTTGGGATACTCTAGTATATAGAGGACATGGAGAAAAGAAGAAATCAGCAAAACAAATTGCGAAAGAGTAGCTGGAGACAAGGAATATCAGGAGGATATGGTTTC